AAAAATTTTATGATTGTTTTCAGTTGTAATATATTAATTATAAAAACAAAACAGTATTTTTGCAAACATAAACTTTATTAAAAATTTGATTATTAATTGAATGATATATGATTCAATTAATATATTCCTTAGATAAAATATGTTTTGATGCAGCTTTTACAGTAAGCAAACAAAAAACTTTTTCCAAGTAAAAAAATGCCTTTGACTTTATGCTAAATTAAATATGCTGATTTTAAATCTGAACTCAGATTTTTCTATCTTTATCTAGATCTTGAAATTTTTATATTCACAAGAAAATACTCTTAACCAAATCAAAGACAAGTCTGCCCAAGAGGGACCACCATTTATTCTGCGTTCCAGACTATACACATATACATTCATGGCGACAGGCCTTTTTAGGCTTCATGCTACTAGAGATAAAGTCCTTTATCTCTGGTAGCATGAAGCCTAAAAAAGGAAGTCCTGTTGCCACGAATGTGTATGTGTATAGCCTGGAACACAAAATAAATGGTAGTCCCTCTTGGGTAGACTTGTCTTCGATTTAGTTAATAATAATCTCGCCATCGGACAGAAAAATCAACAAAAAGAAAATACTCATTTGTGTGTAAATAACTTTTATTTATCTGTATTTTAATATTATGATGTAAGTGATTACAATCCATATGGTATTAATCACATAAAATATTTTATATTTCTCTTAAGCTTACAAAGTACAAGTTAGCATATGAATTATCAGCCTATCCAAATGAGATAAAAAGAGTTAGGCACCCTAGTGTGCTACCAGTCATGTTTCAGATTTAACAAAAGACAAACAAGAAATCTTACAAAACAAGGAAGTCCCAATGAGATGTCTTATGTGAAGTTGTACTTTGTAAGCTTGAAAGAAATATCCTTAGATATTTCACAGAAACTTCATATTATACAAAAGATATATGGATGATGTGTTCATAATTTTGGAGGAATAATTAAAGAGTTCAAGACACTTTAAAAATGGTCAACAACAACAATGACAGTTTGAATCTAAAATTGGAACAAAAGAGTTTTACTTGTGTTCACTTTTTAGATATTAATATTTGTTTTAAACAATGAGATATATATACTAGTGCAAAGGTTACCAACTTAATTTTATCAAGGAACCCTTTTCACCTTAATAAAAAAAATATTGGAACCCTGACAATAACAAATGTTGAAACCCTGCAGATATCAACAAATTAAAGCATACTAAGTAGCCACTTTACACCAAAACAGAAAATAAAACTACAATTAAAAATAAAATCAGAATTAATTAAATAAAATTGTTTTAAAGTTTTACTGATTTGATTTCAATCTTTTAAAAGTTGTTTTGAAATTTTTAAGTTGTAAATAAAATTTATTTTAAAATTTATGTTATGGTGACAGAACATTTTGCTTTAATATATATACATATTTAACAATTGTATTTTTATTTATAAGTTGAATTCTTTGTAGGGCTATGGTTTTTTCAATGATTTTTTAGCTTTAGTTTGTTTTACTGTTTTTATGATTTTCATTATTTTGTCAAATAGTATATCACAATTTCAATTTGTTCTGTTGCTGATAAATAAGTTTCCACTATTTATAAAGCTATAAATATTTTTAGCACATGTATAGTCTGTGATTGAGTTCTTGTTGATGATCCAAATCTAAAACAATTATACCTCACATCCCAAACCTGTATTGACACATTCATACATCACTAGACTCAATAGATTTTTATTGGCGGAACCCTAGGGTTTTGTGGAACACAAGTTGGGAACCCATGCACTAGTGTATATATCAAACCAATAAATTAATCCCACAATGGTCAAATGACCCAACAAATATAAACTTTCAACATTCAGAGCACTAATTAGAAGAGCCTTTATATTGCTCCAATATACAGGACAGAATAAAAGAAATCAATAGAATCAAAGCAATAGCAACAACATTAGGATAATAAGCATTCACAATAGATGGACTCATCAACAGTTTTGAAGAAAACAAAGATAAAACTCTAAAATGATAAATTGAATTAATAAGGGTTTACATACAATAAAAGGCTGAGTTATATCATGAACAAATTGGTTATCTACAAAAGCTTGAAGATAGTGTACAAAAGAGCATTTAATATTTATAACCTGTTAAGAAATGATAAAGAAAACTTAAGAAAGAAGAACAACTGGAGTATACAAAATAGTCTACAAGAACCAACAATTAATGGTCAGAAAAGAATAAGCTGGATTCTTTGTAGGGCTAAATGTTACATAAAGAAACCTCATGATATGTCTCAAAGAACAAAAATGCACTGTTGAAAAAGGCCATACTAATACAATATTGGCAACATTGTCACAATTAGAAAGCTTGAATGTAAAGTGGGATGAAGCGAACTTTGTGAAAGCAGTACTCTCTCCAACTCTTGTAATGAAATGGAAAAAATAGAAATATATAAGAGCAAAATTAATGACCAATGCCTGAACACCGGGGATACAAATGCATTGTCCTTGGTATTCTTCTTCTTGGTGCCATATCAGATTCCTGATGTCGGCGACACCTGGCGTAGGTTAGTAAGTAGTTAGTAATGTGCCAAGGTGTTACTAGGGAAAGTTATTATCCAGAGTGGTTTCCTGTTGCCTGCTCTGGGGCACAATGTTATGCGAGGGGAACGAATACCTTCCGGGAGGACTTTTATGGGAAATGGCCTCTTATTTAGTCGTTATCGGCAAGGAGAANTTTATTTCTATTTTTGCATTTTGAAATGTATAATAAAGTTTGTGATTATTGCAAGGAACATTTTTTACCTAATAATTTTTTAATACTATTAATTTGTGATACATAATATATTATTTTTTCTGCCATAATAACTAACTTTGTTCTGTACCCCTAAACAACCTATCATGTACCCAGGTTGGGAATTGCTGTACTATATTAATAATGTATTTTTTCATACATAATCGGTTATCCAAAAAATTGATTTTCCAAACATCCCCAGTCCCCAATTGATTTGGATAATCAGTGCTCTACTGTATATATATAGTAGAGTGTTGATTATCCAAACAAATAATGAAATTTTTACTAGTTGGTAGTAAAGATCTCCAATCATAGAGACTTCTCAAACAATCCAAAATTTTCTTTATATATATAAAGAAAATTTTGGATTGTTTGAGAAGTCCCTACGATTGGAGATCTTTACTAACAACTAGTTTTAGTAGAAGATATTTGATTGATGAATTAATTAAATGTGATGATCTACAATAAGATAAATGTAATAGCCTGGTTAGTATACAGATAGATCAAGAATGCACTGAAACAATTAGCAAAAATTATGAAACTTTATTACATAAATTGCTTTAATTCTGTTGTTGCATTATCAGTTATATTGAAATATCACTTGTGCAATGTTCAAAGAAAGCTATGCTTAACTTTTCCAATAAATTTGAAGACATGGGACTATGCATATCAGAGATGCCAATGTAGTAGCTTGCAATAGCTGTAAACATACATACACTAAACTATCACAGAAGATATCAGTTTTAAGTGTATCTGTAGTGTTAAGTGTTATATCTGTAGTATTTAAGTGTTAAATGTATCATCAAAAAACCTCATACAATGTATGAGGTTTTTTGATGTTTGTTATATATATTCCTTTATTGAGTTCAAATATTACAGGATATGAATGCTAAACAGTACATAATCTTTGTAATTATTTTGCTGGCTCAATACAAAGCCCTTGAAAATGGTCCTCTTTATGGACAAGGCACATTTCACAAATTCTCTTTATGGACAAGGCACATTTTACATTAACAGAGTAAGTAAACATCAACAGTTTTTGATGTTTAGTTACTCTATTAATGGAAATGTGCTTTGCCCATCAAGAGAATTTGTCATGGCCAATTTTCATTGGCTTTGTATTGAGACATTGAAGGCACCCAGTTGGTTTGGAGTCACTAGTTCTTTCTGATGGTTTTTCTTAAGATTCTATACTATGGAAACTATAAACTATAGTTCAAACTCTTGTAGAAACTGGTAATTATAACATAAAGTACAGTACAAACAACAACAGAGGAACCTTGAGTTACTTCCAATAAACATTTAATAAGACTAACAGGAAACTACAGATTTCCAGCATTATAACCAATTGCTGTACAGAAATATTCATGCTTCCAGTAATTGCAGAAAGATGTAAAAGATTGCACTGGACAAGTATCACATTTACGATAGTGTCTTACTGTATGTGATATGAAAACAATACTTCAATATCATTTTAGTGACTACATCATATCTTGACATTTTCTTTCTTTATGGCATCTTTTTTCCAATTTTACCTCTATGGATTTCTGACTGGGGATTATCTAAGGTCAGTGTTAAGATTATTTCTATATTATAAAGGAATGAAAAAGAATTCTCTCAGAACTGTATCATTTGCTGTATGCAGTGTGTTATTGGTAATGATGCTGTATATATTAAACATTTTTCACCACTTACAGGAGTGAAATAAAGGGCCATCAACTGTCACTTTATTTCATTCCTGCAAGAGATATAAAATGTTTGATATATCCATCATCATTATCGATATTGGCATTTCTTTCAACCATATTGTAAACATTTGTTAATCATTAGTGACAGAAGGTCAACAAAGAAAGATCTGCCACTGATGACTTATTCGGAATGGGTGAAGGCAGTGGTTAGTAACTTGACTACATTTTAATTTGTGATAACACTATTATTTTTAGATCTAGTGATACTGTTCCAATATCAGATGATGATTCAATATCAGATCAGATTATTCTCAATTTTGAATATCCCAAGCAGAGGTCAAGAAGTACCTATTTCCACTCAAATCCCTTAATTACAACAATCTCTGGAGCAAGTTGAGTTTATTCATGATAAATCAGCTTATAAATATCAAAGATAAATAGTTTTAATAAATAAGCAATAATAAATATTAAGATATTTATCATTAATATTGACATTAAGTTCTAATTCATTCAATGCAAATTATTTAGAGAACACAGAAGACCAAATACTTTGTATCAAGAATTAAGTTTTCATGATAATGATGCTCTCGGTGAAAATGATGAAGGAGCTGATATTACAGGTATTTAAAAGCATGGTGAATTCTTAAATTTTAGATTTAATTTCATGTCTAGATTTTAAAATTATCAAGATAATTGTAAGCATCTGTTATTCAAAAATACAGTAAGACCCCACTTAACACTGCCTCGATTAATGCTGATTCGATATAACACGGTCTGCTTGAAGCTTTAAAAAAGTTCAAAATTTATGCAGATTCAAATTATTGCGTCATTTCATTGATTCGTATATAATACAATTATTTACAAACATGAACCAATTAGCAAAAGATGGCAATTCAGCGTAGAGCTGTACTTCCCTTAAATCTATGTTTGTTTGGTACAATTTTGGAAAAAATATAACATCATGGATGCCATAGGAAATATTGACTTTACTTTGAAAGAATTAACTGATAAATGCATGAACAGAGTGTGGAAGAAGTTATGGCTGAAGGTATCCAAGAATTCTCAATGAGAAGAACCTATCGCTATATTGTAAGATTGACCAAATTGTCAAGCTAATCGATACAGCAGGACTAGGAGATGTAGACGAGCAGGATATTGAGGTGTTACTGCAGGGTTCTGGTGAGATCCTTATCGACAATGACCTTCAACAACTGGAAGAACAAGGAATTCATGCAGAACTAGAAAATAGAGGTTCTATAAACAAAGAACCCAAAGAACTTTCTACAGATTTCCTTAGTAAAAGTTTGGGAACAATAACCGAAATCGCTGATCAAACTGTAGCAAATGATCCAGATTTTGAAAGAAGTGGAAAAGCAAGGCATTTTGGACACGATCTCTTGCTACGACATTTGCTTAAGGAAAGAAAAAAAGTGACAAATGAAACTACATGTTATTGCAAAAAAAAAAAAAAAAGAATTTCAGAAAAGGCAGGACCTTCACAAAAAATGAACTTTAGATTTCTTTGTGCATATGTTTGTGTTATTTAACATATATTACTATACAAATGAATTTAAAAATAACTTAAAAATTAAAGTAAAATCTGTTTAGTTTTGGTTGTGTGTTTCCCTCTTCCTATTTACTCTGTGTTAAAATGACTCGTTTAGTGCTTTGTTGTCTAGGAACATATCCCCACATTAAGTGGAGTCTTACTGTACATTCACATTTTTAACATAATATTTTAAGAAACAAAACTATAATAAATAACTTATTTTTAATACAAAAAAATATTAACTGTAAATGAAAATATGATAATGAATGAATATAAAAAGTTTATTCGCAATATTTTAGGCATTAACACATTGATACTTTTTGATACTGAAGAGCATTTTTAGTTTATTATCTGATTTGCTAATGGGCAACATCAAGTGAGAAACTTCATTTTTTTTGGGAGTTATACAAAGTACCATAAAATTATTTATTTTTATGTAGTAAACATTAGCTAGGTATCATGCAGTAAGATAGCATCTTATTGCTGTGTGAATTTGAATTTGATCCAAATTCTCATAACTTTTAATATATAAAATAGGTTAAAGCATTGATTCCTAAATCCTGCTCATAATAGCCATTTCAATTGTGAATGAGTTCTGCATGTACTGCAAAATTGAGGTTAGCCATATAATTATTGTGGTAATACCTTGTGTTATAAAGTTAAACCAAACTGTTTAATAAACTTTTCAGTTTGTTTCAGTATATTTATCATTGACTTTCTTGCTTTTGTGAATTGTTTTTATTTCTGAAATTGTAAATTTATATTTTCTTGTAAACAATATGTGATAATAATTAGCATTGCATTCCAGTTTTTCTACACTATAATTATATTGTTGATGAATATACTAAAGAGTTAACTTAGTTAGTGACACTGAATAACAATTTGGTATTCAAATTGTATATTATATTTTCAAATATATAAAATTTTAAAGAATAGTATAAATTTTAAATAAATATAAATACTTAAGTATTTTTATCTCTCACTTTTTTCTCTTACAATACTGAGAAATTTTTTTATTTGAAAAAGTCATATTTGAGGATTTTGATAAAATAAAATATTTTTTTGGAGAAACAGTATTCTTGAGAAGTTTTATTTTTTGAATTTTAGTAGCATGAATTATTTTTTCAGATTTTAAAAATTTATCTTGCTTTAAAATGTTTTATATTCAAAACTTTAAATTGTATTTATTATTATTATAAATGTAAAACAGTGACTTAAAGTACATAAGAATAAGATCTTATTCCAAAATAATCTTCCTCCTCATTGTAATGTGTAGGCTTAAGTAGTGGTCACACCTAATGATTTCTAGTCATGCAGGCAACTGCAACTGCAACAAACAGAAGTTGCATGCATTTTGTCATGGTCACATTGTTCATTGGCATTGCAACTCAGAAACACATGACCTTATAATAAACCAATAAAATTACAGTAACTTGTTTTCGACTACTTTCTTGAATTTACTGACAGTTTACGTTCTACTTCAGAGTTATGGAATTTTAATCACTTTTCGTATTAAAATGGCAAGCAGTTCATTTAACAATAGTTACATCTAGCAATTTTTATCTGTGCAGGCAAATGCAACTGCAGTGAGTGCGAGTTGCATACATTTGTTGTGATCACATTGTTCATTGGCATTGCAACTCAGAAACACATGACCTTATAATAAATCAACATCCACTTTGTCTGCTATCTTTTTTCTTTAATGTGAAGGAATATTGTTGGCAAATTGTGGTACTTTTTACTTAGTTCTTTAGCTATATTTAAAATAATAATGTCGTTACTAAATTAAAAACAATCAACATTTTATATTCAGAAATCTTAAAATGATACAGTACTTGCAGTTAATGGCAAGACTTTTATTTATCTCATGCCATGCCTGAACTCTTTTATTTTTCCTTGACAAAACAAAGAATTAAAACTTCACAAGCATTTGTGAGCCCAAGTAAGCTCGATCAACCTCAATTCTAATGCTGTACCAGATGATATTTTCACTTTCTGCTATGATGATAACCACTTTCAAAGTTGTCACTGTATGATATGGCTCAAAGGCATTTGCTGATTAGATGTACATTTGCAATGAGCATGAGTAGAACAAACTTTTTGTTTCTAGTTGTGGTTGAAGTTGTGCCAGTTTTTGAAGGGGTTTACTAGTTAATAGGAACAGCCATGGCAGTTGCAGTTGCCTGCACAGCTGGAAATTGTGAGGTGTGACCATGGCTTTAGTGGCCTGTTCTGTCTTAGTTCATCTTTTTTTTCAGTCTTATTTGATTCCTGATTTTANCATTATAAAATAAGATGATTTTGCAAGGTTAAATAACAAATACAGTTATTAAAATTATTTTGCAACAGTAGAAAATAAACTAATTTATATTAAATTTACTAATATCAAGTGGTGCTGACAACGACGCCAAATGGTAGATATTGGAGCTACTGTGGAAAACATAAATATTGAGCACTTAAAGTACCGCTAAATAAGACGACAGCACAGAAACACAGATGTTTTCATGTTTTGTTCTCTAGGATTTATGATGATGATATTAACATTTACTGTAAATGTACATATTTTAATATGATTTTATGTGCTTAACACTTTTCTAGTGATATTACGACTTCAATATTTGTGGCGGACGGACATAAAGTCGAATAAAATGACTTAAACTTGGTTTTTATTTTTCCATATATTTTTTGACAAACAACGTATAATCGAGAATGACATAACTCAAGATATACCTGTACAAAGTTGAAAGACAGCTATATACCAACAATTAAAACAAAGCAAGGGAAAGCTAATTGCCATTTGTGTCCCCAGAGTGAGTGCTCTTAAGAGCCCCACTAAGGGATATGAATGCGAGTAGATGATGGAACATTGTATGCATATGAATGAGTTGGTGTGGGTTGCAAGGAAGTTGTACCCTTCAAGAATAGCAGCTCTCATTAAACCATCCCTAATGTGATTGTTTCTTTTGTAGCGAAAAACTAAGTGAAGTGGTGTTTGATTCTCCTGAATACCATAGTCACATTGTGGATTGTCCCCAAGGTTAAATCTATGGAAGTATTGCTTAAAGTTACCATGTCCTGTAAGTAGCTGAGTGAGGGTGTAACTAGGGTAAAAGTGGCAAAGAATAGTGTCAACCTTGGGGATGAAAGTGTAGGTGAGCCTACCAGTGGTGTCATGGTCCCAACTGTCTTGCCAGAGAATGAAGATTTGCTTCTTGACGTGATTGTTGACGTAGAGGTAGGAATGTTACTGAAAGTACTAGTGACTGAAAACTTTGCTGCATGTTTGGCAAGACAGTCAGTGATCTCATTGCTGAGAACCCCCGCATGACCCAAGACCCATTGGAAATCTATTCTAATGTTGTTGTCTAAATGTCTGAGAATGTGGTGTATGAGATGGATGAGTTTTAAGTGGCTATCAGATTTTGCAATCCTGTGTAAAGCTACCCTACTGTCAGAATAAATGCAATAGTATAAGTAGTGTCTTTTGTCTTTTCTATGCCTAATGTGAATTAAGCTCATATAAATAGCTAAAGTTTTTATCTATGCTATTGAGCAGTGTGTACCTAGGCGGAAGCAAGCATTGTGAAGCTCGCAGACTAAGTCAGAGTAAACTATAAAAGCAGCACCCACATCATAACCCATGTTGGAACCATCAGTGTAAATCCTAAACATGGGATCACCTGGATCTTCGAAGTAAACGTCAGGGGCAAGCTGATGGGAAGGGTGGTAATTGTAAGTCAGGAGGGTATTTTTGTCGATCCTGAATTTTTTGATATCATTGATCAAGGTCAAACTGAGGGGAATCTTACCTACTTGACTTAGACCATAACAGATTTCAAATAAATTTTAGATTATATTTTATAAATTGTTTAGGCAAAGAGGAATTTATATATGTTTTTAGTTCATTATATGAGAATTTATCAACTAATAGTCTATTCAGTCTTAAATATAAATATTATATTTAATTTACCATATTTATTTTTATTTTCAAATTATAACATATTTTAATTAAAATGATTTTGAATCTAAAACTTGTTTCTTCAAATAAAATATTTATTACCTTAAATAAGTGTTTTATTTAAATTTTAAATATTTTAGGCAAGGTTTAAATTTTTCTGGATTACGAACAGAATCATCGTTATATTCAAATTCATTAAACACTCCTACTAAATCAATAGTAAGTCTTGTTGATTTTCCCAGTATTGTTTCACCTAATGCTAGTTCAAGCTCAAATACTAGTTTGAAAAGTGAACTCCAAGTAAGTTATATTTTCTTATGATGATACAGTTAACAATATTTTTATAATTAAATATTGAAACTTAAGATTTTATACTAAAATAAGTTATGTAATGTGTATTTATATATTTTAGGATCTTCAGTCTTCATCAGCAGTTACTTCACCAACTAGTACGAATGCTGAGTCAAGAGACTCATTACTGAAATATTCTCGAAATCGAAATAAAGAAACATCAGAGAAGGGACAACTAACTGACATTATATTACAGAGTGATCGAAGTACAGCTACAAGTAAGTTTATAAATTATTGTTTAAAAACTTTTTTAATCATATATAATTCTTTTTAATAAAATTGCAAATAGGAAAAAAATATTTGCAATTAATGATACCAGTCATCCTAAATACATTACTAAACATGCTTTATTATATGTGTAATTTTAAAATGTTATACATAAAATAAATTCATTTACTTAAAAATATGAAATAACACAATGAAAAAATTAGATGTTACTTTATTTTTTAATTAATTATCAAGTTGATTCTAATATTTGAAAATCAAATTTAAATAAATGAAAAATGTATAAAATAATTAGTAGATGAGCTGGGTATTGCCCAGGCAAAAATTAACAACAAAGATTAAGATTATTAGATTATTTTGTACTTCTATCCCTCATTATTTCAGCTTTTATGCTTGCCAGAGATAAGGTATGTTTTTGTTTTTGTTACTGCATTGCTTCATGGAGGTAACTGAGAATGTCAATATGATAGCTTCATGGACAAACTTATAACACACCAGACCTTTCACATAAAAAAGTTACAAGCATTGTCTTCCTCTTGAATCTGTCAAGGAAAAATGTTTTTGCCTATGGGAATAGGCTAATTTATCCAATTTGATGAGGTGTGTTGACTCAGAGTTGTACAAGAAACATTAGGTTTTGCCATCAATAATCATTCTGTTTAAAATATATGACTTTATCAACTTTTTCAGTTAGTTCTCTGCTGATGAATGCTTTTTCTTTGCATTGCTTAACCTGTTTCTTTGAACACATTTTCTAGTTTTCATGAACAGTGATGTGTATAGACAATTTCCAAAGTGCTGACTAGATTGCATATTGATTGTCTGGTTTGATCTCTTTGAAAACTAGGAAAATCATTTCTCCATTCTTGCTAANTTTTATGTATTTAATAATTATTAATAATCAAAATTATTTTATTTATAAATAATATTTGTGAAAACTATCAAAAAAACATTTTACACATAATCTGTCAGATTCCAAGATGAAACTAAATTTTCCTGCCAACATTGGCAAAACAATTTCTGTAACATAATGCCATCTGTTAGAGGAATAGTGAAATAAGCATTTAACAACAGTGAATACATCAAAGATGTTAAAATAAAAGTTTCTAGAGCATTTTTTCACAACAAATGTATGACATACATCAAAGTCAAAAAGCATATAAATATACAGTATAGAACAGTGACTGAGAAGGGTTTAAGTCATATATGGCCCTGAATCAACTTTTATGAAAGAAATAATTATCTTTTAATCTCAGATTTTTACCAGATAAAATTTTAAGAGCACTGTCTATCTGTGTCAATAGAGTTTTAATGAATGAATTCTTAATTTTATTTTTGTTAGTCATATTTTGTTCATTATACATTTATTTTATTTGTTCAAGTTTAAATCTTTAATTCAAATTTAAGTTTGTGTAAATTGAATATCTGATTATTCCATTTTTGTAATGATTTATTATCGATTTTAAAAACTTGAAGATGGCCTATGATAATAGTTCAAAAGGTTTGTTAATAAACAATTTTTCTCAGCAAGCATTAGGTGGAGAAATAAGTTTGTTAGTGGTAGCCATTCAGATATACTTCCAAATAACTCCTGTCTATCTAATGAGCTGATCCAGTAAGAATATATTTTGTATGATTATAGATAATTTTAAATATATAAGCAGAATTTAGTTTGAAGTGCATTGTCTGTAAAAGTTCCAACTTGATCTAGACATTTCTAAAGTATTGATTAAAACTAATTAATTCTAATTAGTAAAACATTTGGTAATGCTGTTTATGTATAATCCGATTTTCATAATCATTTAATTACTTTATAGACCTATAAATAAATAACCCATATAAATTTGATATGTATTTGTTTTCAATTTATATTGTTTTCTAAAGTATTTAATATGTTTGCTTTTTATGTTTTGTATGAGACAAATCATTTATGCTGCAACTAATAACTTGTTTTTGAGTAGCTATCTTTACTGTTTCACTTAATTATTGTGACTACAAAGGATATCTTTATTCTACTTGGCTCAATATGTTTAAATATATATATATATATATAAAGGATATCTTTATTCTACTTGGCTCAATATGTTTAAATATATACAGTATAAAATGACTATAGCAAACATATTAAATTATATGTATACATTTGTTAATAAAAATTAATTATTTTTGATAAAAGAAGAACTTATAAATTTATATTTATTAATAACTTATTAAATAATTTTACTTACAAATTTATTGAAATTAAAAAATTTAAATTAAATAACCACTAACATGTGTTAATTATTTTCTCTTTTTCTAATACTCCTGAAATATAGTTACTGACAACTTTTTTGGTAAGCATATCTTATTATATTTAATAATAATATACATAATTTAATATATAACTATTTTTGCAATCAAATATTTCTAAATATTAATATTTTAATTTTTAAAACTCAAATGTCAATAAATATTAAAATATTTATCAATTATTGCTAGAATTAAAAAAATGTTTGTAGGAAATAACTAAACATAAAAAAATTAACTTATATTTAAAATTATATGGCATTTTACTCTAGTATATGATTATTTTAAACCCAAGATTATTAATTAGGTAGAATTAGTTAACAATTGTTGATTCAATTTAAAAAAAACTAGTACTTTCAATCTTTTTAAAGGAATATTTTCAGGTTCCTTAAATAATGCAAAGTTATAAAATTATTATATAATCATTATAAAAACAAACTTGGCAGAATGAATTTATCAGAAAAAGTTTTAAATTGAAATTGAAATAAATACATGTTTTCCAATGATAACTTGTTGGAAAACGTGTATTTGGAACACTTGCACTTGTGATATTTAAAACTAATTCACTATATCACTGTGAATCTCTTGCAAATGGTTTTCACACTTTTGTGTGAACACATTTAAAAATGTTGATACACCTTAGGATATTTTAGATACCTGTAAACATTTAACTAATTGTAAATTATACACTATTGTTCACTTACATAATCTTTGAACAAAAGTATGGAATATTTTGTAATTGTTGTAGTAAAATTATTTTGATTCTGAAATAATCAAATTCACAAAAATAGTATTGAACTTTTAACAATTGACAATGTAATAGACATCAATAGAATTGGAGGTATATCTGGACTAATGTCAGTCCATTTTAAATGCTGTATGTTATCTTCTTGAAACCATCGCTTAATTTGTTTAGCCCTATAGCATGATGTCGTCATGATAGATGAAATCTTCAAATGTTTTAACGACCAAAGATTCTAATAACCAAATATCCTACTCAGCTCTTTAAAATATTTAAAAAATCACCAAACACCTGATGCTGAGAAACGTTTATTAATTAAACAAACATTAACGTTTTCGACCTAATATGATAGGTCATCTTCAGATGCACTGGAATTCAAATGTATTTTTAACTTAACATTTAAACAACAGAATGTTCAAACACTTTTACATTTAAATTTAATATTAATTTAATTAATTAATTAAATTTAATACTATCCTCAGAGCTATGCATTCCCCATCATTAGCAATGCACGAAGAAAAAATCAAAATCTATAAAAGTAAATTAAAAGATGGTTGTATTAACACCAGGGATGTGGACGGACTAGCTTCTGCATGGAAATTCTACTTAAAAGAAAAAGTAAAACACAAAAATTCTTAGCTCGCACTTGCCCTTTTACCTAGAGGCATTTTTTTGTGTATTTATTTTATTTTACATATGTTATATTTTTATTTTATTGTATTATTTACATCGTTATTGTATTAGTTCATTTAGTATACAGTAAAAATCGCGTCGATTCATCTTTTGTTTGAACGCCATGCAATTCTTGATTACTCACGCCCCCCACACTATTGTTCAGCTTACATGTTTGGACGTGTCGCGCGAAATCGACACATAGCTACAATTTATTTTGTGTTATTTATTTCTGTGTTTGTTATATCTACAGAGATTTGAGAGACTCTATGTGATGATTTCTTCTAACCGTGAATGAATCAAAAGACAAGATAAGATTAACGAGAACATTTATTAGCTTACATACATCCGACTTGGATTTTACACAAATTGCGAAATTATACCCCAACTTAAACAAATTTGACTTACGCGGTTATCGCTCGGTCCCACCTATCGCGTAAGTTCGGGGTATTACTGTATTTTGTTTTAAATTTAAATGTAAAAGTGTTTGAACATTCTTTCATTTAAATGTTAAGTTAAAAATACATTTGAATTCCAGTGCATCTGAAGATGGCCTATCATATTAGGTCAAAAACGTTAATGTTTGTTTAATAAATGTTTCTCAGCATCAGGTGTTTGGTGATTTTTAAAGATTCTAATAACTCCAAATAACCATCAGCATTCAATGTACTATTAAGATTGCCTTCTTACCAACTTCTTTATTACACTTTTAGGAAATTAGGCTGATGAATTTAAAGAATCAAAATGAAATTTCTATCTAATCTTCTGTATACTGTTGTACTGCCATTATCATCATAGCCAATACGTATTTTTAATTCACATGTGAACATAACTTGTTGCCAGTCATTAACAGTGCAATTTTTATGACTTTTTGCCCATTTCAAACTATCTTTCTTTTATTTTTTGTCATATAGGGCTTTGTTTTAGTTTTAGTTCTAGTAGTAACCTTAATCTGCTAGTTTTTTCCTTACTGTCATGTTCAATATATTAATACCCATTGAAAATGTTTGGAATATTCTGAAGAAAATGGTGTCTAAAAATGAGCTACAACCATAGAAGAATTAAACAGTCAAAGAATCATGGTGAGAAGTTGATCCAGAATTATGTAAAACATTTAGTTATAAAATACAGTAGATCCCCCTATAAGACGATAGATACGTTCCGTTCTTTATGAATCAATTTTGTAGGAATCATAGTTTACGGACTACGGCTGTTTGAAAGGTTTTCTTTCATAAAATTAATCGATTCTAGACTAATTCGACTCAACATTTCCAAAATACGTATATTTTTTTGAAAATAATCCGTATAAACTACGTTATAAACAAAAAATTGTAGGATTGCTTACCGAGTGTGTACCGTTCGACTACGCCCGTTGCTAAAGCTTGGTTTCGTCGCGGAACAGCGCATCAAACCGCGGCCGCGATTTCTGATATTATTTTTCTGCGAAAACTTCGTTGACCTTTGGAGACATCCTTAATATAAATAATTTTTATGGCCGTTAAATAAGAAATGTTTCTTTCACAAGAAATGTATAAAATTACAGTACTGGACAGACGATAGGTCGCCTAACTCGCCGTAGCGTGACGCTAGACGGCGAAAAATATATATTTAATTATAATAAAGTTACAATAAATTAAGTTAATATATAATTATATATACAGTACCTAATTTATATATAATTAATATATAATTATATGTACAGTACCTAATTTATATATAATTATTTGAACAGACGATACTAAACTCAATTTATCCGCCTAAATGTCCGTAGCGTGGCGCTACGGACGGCGGGAAAGTAGTTCGGCTGCCCGATGACGTTTTACGTATTATAGGAGTTATTTTTACCGTTGTTTACGGATACTGCCACAATTTTTAAGGAATCATAACTATAGGAAACGGTTTTATAGGGGGATCTACTGTACCACAAAGAATTATGGCTGTAAATAGAGCAAAAGGTGGTCCTACAAAATATTAATCATCAATATTCCAGAAAATCACTTATGGCAGCTGTTATTTTCGTTGTGAATGTGTCTCTTTAATCCGATTTTCAGTTTGGTAGACTATCATATACAGTATTTTAAAGTGTTTGGCATGTATTCTTCTCTTAAAAAGCATTTGAAATAGTTTATGTCATGTTCTAATATTTCAACTTTCTTCGTAAGAATAACTAACCTGTTTTCTCCATCCATATTCAAATATTCTTTCAGAAAATCACTTATGGCAGCTGCTAATTTTGTTGTGAATGTGTCTCTTTAATCCGATTTTCAGTTCGGTAGACTATCATATACAGAACTGAAAATCGGATTAAAGAGACACATTCACAATCAATATTCCATACTTTTGTTTAATGCTTTTCATGATTTCATACTTTTGTTCAACTTTTACTATGTTTAAAATGCTATAACTTTGTAATTTATGAAAATATCTTTATTATGTTTGGTGTGTAAATACTTTAATATGTCTATTACATTTGTCAATTGTTAAAGTTCAATAATATTTTTGTAAATTTGATTATTTTAGGATCAAAATAATTTTTCCACGACAATTACAAAATATTCCATACTTTTGTTCAGGTGTTTTATAGTGTCTTCCATGCATCTGATAAAGAATCCTAATACCGATACTAATCCTGATAAATATCTTACTGGTGACAAATGGAGCAGTGGGATGCATGTCATCCCAGCCATAAACAAGACTGTCATTAATACAGTACATATCAGATACACCTCAAGATCCCTCAGGTATTTATTGAACAGGAAGATGATATTAAAAGAAGAGGAATTTGTTAGTATCTAAGAATTTGTTCAAAGGATTTCTTCCTTTGAATAAATTCTTAGGTACTAAGGTAGACTGGTGGGCATACAAAATCATCAGAACAATCTCTCACCCTTCTCATGCCAGTATTGTAGAAAAATACAAAATTTTATAAAAACACCATTAACAATATGTGTTTAAATAACAGAGACTCATCTGGAAGTAATGTACTCATCAACTCGATTATCTAAAACAATAAATATTTAATTTAACATAAGCTGGTTATACAGATACATGTGACATAAATATGACATAAGATTTATCAATAATGGTTATCTTAGCAGACTAGTCTATAATCTATCTGTGGGAGAGAGAGTTTTGACATAACCTTTATGGGTCAATCAAAATACCTGATTCTTGAGGTTTGTAGATCGCTGTCTGGTTTGGGTGCCCTGAAGAGATAGTCTCTTACTTCTACTGAAGAGTCTTGATAATAATTCATAATATTATTAGTCACAACTGTTTAAGTCCATTGTCCTTTAATCTGGGTGGCAGTTGGATTGGTGGGAGTTTGCTGATCTGTACTGGGATAGGTTCTGGACTAACTGAACTAGACTGAGGGATGATCTTTTCAATTTTTTTTGGTTCTTTTATGTGTTTTTGTCTTCTTTCCAAGTTATGATGTTAGCAAAAAAGTCAATATCAGATGGACAACTTCTTTGTCGTCCAATCTCAGTTTTCATTCTCTACTTCCCTGGGTATATGGTTGCTCCAGGAAGAAGAGTCATTTAGAAAGGAAGTGTTACCATGGAGAGAATCTGGTTACTTTCTTGTTGAATTTTTCCAGTTTATTTAACAAATTTATTAAATTAATATTTT